CACCACGCCCCGGGCGGAGGGGAGCAGGAAGGGGCTGGGGAAACCTTCACGCTTTCCGAAATAAAAGATGGGGACACAAGGGCGAGAATCTGTCCTTTGGTCTTCTCTGGAAGGTGTTGAAGAAATAGCAGGCAACTGCCTGCCTCTGCGGTTAAATTAGTATGTGGGGGGAAAAGTGTCCTCAGTGAGGGCTATTAGAAATAAAGAGGTTATATTTTAGAATATATATATATATTTAATCTCAGCTGTGGTCTGGAGTGGGGTAGTAGCAACAGCATTTGTCAGGAAAGAAGATGAAAGTAAAAAGATGTCAATTGAAGACACATTCAGATTGATTATTCAGATCAATAGTACAGGCAAGTAAAATGGGACTGTGTAAACTCTCTGGACCTTAGTCCATGGGGTAACAACAGTCCTGGTGGTACAAGGTTAAATCCATATTTTCTACTCTGTTGACAGTGAGTTTGTTATTCACCAAATACTTGAATATTCTCATGCATTCATCCAGCTTGTGACTGTTGTGGGTTTAGGTAACCCATGAACTCAGGAGAGCAACCAAGGAAAAAGAAGCATTTTTAAAGCTAATGAAAGAGATAAAAGGACCAAAGCTACTTATAGCAACACTAAAAAGAAAATCACAGAATCATTAGGGTTGGAAGTGACCTCTGGAGACCATCCAGTCCAACCCCCTTGCTAAGGCAGGGTCACCTGGAGCAGGTGACACAGGAACATGTTCAGGTGGGCTTAGAACGTCTCCAGAGAGGGAGACTCCATGACCTCCCTGGGCAGCTGTTCCAGTGCTCTGCCACCCTCAATGTACAGAAGTCCTTCCTCATGTTGAGGTGTAACTTCTTGTGTTGTAGTTTATGGCCATTGCTCCTCATCCTGTTACTGGGCACGACCAAAAAGAGTCTGGCACCATCCTCTTGGTACTCACTTTTGAGATATTTATATGCATTAATGAGATCCCCTCTCAGTCTTCTCTTCTCCAGACTAAACAGGCCCGGCTCCCACAGTCTCTCCTCATCAGAGAGATGCTCCAGACCCCAGAGAAGGGAACTTGAAACATCTAGTTTGTTAGTGCTTTAAAAGGTGTCCTATTAGATGCAAAATGCTGTAGAAGAACCTGGTACCGGTTAAAACATGGAGTGGACAAAAGAGGAAAAGCTTTGATTAGTGAAATGATGGAGAAAACCCTCCCAAACACACATGGTTTCTTTGGATGGGGAGGAAGGTACCCTCTCAGCTCAGCCCCAGGACTGGGCCCTGGGCACATCAGCAGCTGAGATTGTCCCAGTCCCTTGCGTTTAACAGGAGTTTAACAGGAGAACCACATGCTGGGTTGTTAAAAGCAGTAATTAATAGCAAATTACAGGGTGTTCCTCAGCTCTCTTTCCCTTTTTTCCTTTCTTTTTTACACAATATGAGAAGCAAACAAAAGCTGTGAGTGAAATTTCCTGCTCTACTGCACAGCTATCCTGGCACCACCTATTACAGACCTTTGTTATGCAGAAGATAATTCACACCAAGTTCCTGTGCCCCTTGCTCTTGACGTCACCAACAGCTGTTTTCTGATCCCCTGTGGAAATGCACCATTTTCTTAAGCTGATGAGGCAATATCTTACCTGCCTTGAAGAACACAGGAATCCTGGCTCTCGGGAGGATCAATGTCAGCAGAGAGGTCCCTGCTACCCAGGCTGGGTGCTCATGTCTTGGCATGGATAAGCGTGACATTTGCAGTGGCAGAGTGAAAGTAGAAAAACAGTGGTAACGCTGGCAAATGGAAGTATTGAGCTGTGGCTCTTGTAGGGACAGACACACACACACACCTCCCCACCTGCATACTGCCACCCAGCACACTGATTTTCACTATCCTTCGAAGAAAACTGTGTTTCCTCATCTGACCACTTATTTGAAAATATCAAAACTCAAATGAAAACCCATAAAAATGGATCAATTTGAATCCCTGTGCCAGTCGTTCCATATCACTAACACTGCTCTGAAGAAATCCATTCTCTGTCCTTGAAGGACCTTCACACAGGTGAATGGATCTATAGTGACAGGTCTTTAGACATTTACCAGTGCAGAAACCTCAACCTATTTCATGGACTCATTCCTCTAAACCAGGAAGTAAGAATGTCTCCTCCTTTTTCTTCCCTTTGTGTCATCTAATCTCTATTTACTAATCTTCCTGGTCCAATTAGAGGCAATAAAACATTATATGTCTTACACCACCTCTTTGCTTTTGTCCTTGGACCAAAAGGGCCCCTCCTTTTCCCTTCTCAGTCCATGAGATGACAGAGTGAACAGCAGTACAAAAACACCTGCTAGTTGCTGATTTTGGAAGGGCCTGCAGAGAGGCCTAGGGCAGCACATCACATCACTTTAGCTGTAGCATCTATAAATCCTTGACATGAGCTGTGAACGTCTGACATTCCCTATGGTGCTTAATGCATTCACTCTCTTCTACAGACACAGCTACCTCACCTCTGGCCATCTCTGACATTAAAAGCTTTGGGAGCTATCATTCCCCTGATACTTGTCCAGCATGTTTCAGCTCTTCAGATGCAGTCCCTCCTCCTCATTGCTGGGCACAACCCTGGGACCCTTCTTTGTCTCTGTGCCCAGAAAGGTGTGGCACCAGCCCACAGTCAGAAAACTGACTGTCCAGAGATCCCTATGTGTAGCTGTCCTCTCTCAGCTGGATGTGCAATGCTTTCCCTCATCACCTTTGGCCTTCCATATCAGCTTCCTCAAATTATTATAATGATTTAGCTTGCTAAAATTATAAAAGGGAACTAAAATGCAGTAAACACGCAAGATCTTGCTTTGGTACACCAAGCTTTGTCATCCTTTATCTTGTCTAAAGCAGATGCCTGCTTCTGCTGGCATTCTGTTCATTACAAATCTGCTATTGCCATGACCATGTATGCATTTCCACCAGCAAGAATACAGCCACAGTCTTTTGCCTGCTCTGTTCCCTAATCCCTGCCTATAGTACAAATACTGCTCTGGTAATCTATGAATACTTTCACCTTTGCAATCCTCAGGTGATTTCCAGGCAGCAACACATGAAAGCAAAAAGGTAGCTCTGGACAAGACTTGGCCACCAGATACCAACTATGGGAAGCAACTGCAATCACGTTATCTCATGGCAGATCTCCAGTCTGAGGTGGACATTGCACATAGTGCAAGGGATTAACAGCATCTGTGCTCACTGATAAAATGCATCTGTTGGAGGATGAACATCTTAAAGACAAAGCACTGATAAGGGGTCTAAATGCAGCCATTGAAGCCTGAGCCCCACAGAGAGGGTGGGGGCCAACCTGCAGTGCTGCAAAGCCTGATTGTGCCATGTTCCCTCACATCAGACACAGGAGACATGAGCACATAAAGAAAATGGTTTTGGACTCTTTTGACAGCTTCCCCCTGTTCAATAGCAAGAGCCACAAGATCACTGCAGAGTTGTGATCACTTTGATCCAGGGAGGTGGCAATGCCGGCACCTTCCCTCAGCTGCCAGCTCTCTCCCTGAGATGTGAAGGTCCAAACCTCTGCTCTGCCTTTGAGTCAGCCTCCTACAGAGACTGTGGACAACATGCTGAGCACAAGGGACATCCTTAGACAAGTGTACATGCTGGCCCTGGCAAGACAGGCAGGGAGAAACAACTCCATGGTCATGGTGTAAGATGGGCATGACATAGCTTTGTTCTTACCCATTTGGCACCACCATAGTTATCTGGAACCTTGACTGGTGGAAACCAAAGACCCTGGAAAGGTCAAGTGTCACAGGGAAAAGGATGGCCAACACTTGGGCTCGGGGCAAAGAGTTGCCCACATCCTCTTTATAACCATAATCCCATGAGGCTGTCACAAAAATAGTGACCATCACCTGAGTCCCCTGCAGGTCTCCCAGCTGTCCAGCCTCCTCAGCTACAGAGGTTCCTCAACATCAACACCTTCCCACTTTTACAGATGGTTCTAAATACCAGCTAATTATTTTTTTACAGCCACATTGGAGGTATGCCAGGTAACTTCATATGATTGTTCTCCTACTCAAATGGAGAAGATGATCCAGGGAGTGAAGTAACTTCCCTGAGGCTGGAGTGAGTCAGTTACTTTGTCAGATCTGCGTCCCTCTAAACACAGACATTTCTGAAAGGCTTTTTAAACCATAGGAATGTATAAAAATAGGTACAGAAAGAGGTGAACAGCCAGCACAGAATTTCATAGGCCTTTGCAGAACTGGCCTTCCTTCAGGGATCAAGGTTTTGTTAAAGCAGTGTGTTACCAAAGCAGCAGGCTCTGCAAGCTGTTACTTACCAAGCACTGAAGCCTTCACAGTGAAGGTCTGGTGAGCCTGAGACCTCTCAGCTTATGACACAAATGACTTTGAAGCCATGGGGACAGGCAGGACAGGCTGATGGCTGGCAGTACCTGGGACACTGCAGGACCCACAGCTGGTGCCACTGCTCCTCTCTGCATGGGGTGTTGTGCGATGGGGTGGACCAGCCACGTGAGCTCTGCATCCAGGGGTTCTGTGGCAAAGGTGGCCATGCCATGCTGTTGCTGTACCCAGAATGTGTCATGGGACAGGAGCCTGGTGCCACGTGACCACTGTGAGTGGGACACTTTGTGGAACAGGTGACTTGTGTGTCGCTTCTTCCTTAGCAGTGAGTCAATGCCAAAAGGTGTCCCAAAGACAGCACTCCGTGGGTAGGAACCAAACTGGCTGCACTGCAGCACACTCTCCAGGACCTGCAAGTCCGTCCTGGATTTGAAGGGACAGGGGTTGTCTGCAGAGGCCCAGGGAGCTCCTCTGGGACCCTCTGTGGGAAGGACATGGACATGTCTTACAGTGCAATTCCCTCCTCAAATGCCAGCCACCTCTGCAAGCACAGGGTGCTGCATATTAGCTTCAGATCTATTTGCCTCAGCTCTTTCAAGTGACAGATTTTCGCAATCCCCTCTTGTCTGCTCTAAAAGGAGAAGTAAATCCCGTATCAATGGCAACCACAAGAAGCTGGTATAATTTTGAGTGCATGTTTTCAAAGACTGTGACAAAGATACTCAGCCTTGAAGGATAAGGGTGTGTGGGCAGTTAGGTTTGCTTTGCTTTTATCTTGGACAACACTTTTCAATGCCTGGTGCCTCAGCAGCTGCATTTCTGACCCTGGGGAGTTATGACTCACTGTTTGCAAATCCCTGAGCCACCAAATTGAAGGTATGCCTCACAAAGCACGATCCTAAACTGAAATGCTTGTAGGTGGGTGTTACAGCTTCAGTTACTCTGTTCCAGCACTCAGGGCTGGCTCCATATAGGTGCCCAAATTTCTGGCAAATAGAAATCAGCATCTCTTACCTTGTTTAGATAAGCAGGATCTGTTTGGGCTTCTCTCCTTCAGTGAAGTTCTCAGCCAGTCTGCGAGCAGTCAGGCTACAAAAGAGGCATTATCCCATCTACACCAGCACAATGCCAGCCTAAGGGACATCTGCTCTGCCTAACCTGCACTCCTGCCAAATTGCTTCAGACACCAGGGCCATCCCAACATCAGAGCTGGGGCTGGCCTGCTGGAGAATAAGGCTGTCTTTTTTAGCTGCTTTCTGGGTGACCTGTGTGGGGTTAAGTGAGGCACTGGCTGCCATCCTTTCTGTTGGAGTGGATCAGTTCTGCTGGCTCAGCAAAAACCAATGCAAACATCTTATCAAGAATTTCTTAACAGTAAGGCAGGAAAGCTATTTGTGAGAAGACCGAGGCCTTCAGAGAAAGGAACAATAACAAATGATCAAAAGATCCTCACATTTCTTTTTTGCTTGATCATTGGTGTTTTTCTTATCAGGAAAGTGATTGCATTCACTGCTGCAGACCAGCGCTGTTCACAGAGGGTTAATGCTCCCTTTCTTTGGGTCACACTTCAAAAGACTTGTGATGGGAAGGAATCACCAAAAGCCATCTGGCAGGGCATGATGAGATTGTCTCTGGGGAAGGGGCCACTGCTGACCACCACATACATGCACGCTGAGGTCCATGAAAAGCCAGGCTTGGGTCAGAGGTTTTGATTCAGCCTGGCAGGGACTCAAGGGCTGCCTCTGCAAGAGAAATGTATATCCCAGCTGGCACTTCACAGAGCATCACCCAGGGAAGCCTCTGCCAGCAGATTACAAAATTTAGTAACCTGGTGAGAAATCTGCATTATCTCACAGCAAGCACTGCTTGAACACAGGGCTCCTGGAGGGAGCAGAAGAGCTGTCAATCTGCAAATGACCCCCTCTTGCTGCTGTCAGTGGGATCCTCAACTCCCCGCTGGCTGTGGCAGATCCTGCAAAACTAAGGCTTTAAAATCCACGTTTAAACTCTACAAAACCAACAGGCTTCTAAGTAGGTACACCAGCAAGTGCTTTCCTTTCCAAAAAGAAGCTGAGAAAGAGGAGTTGCTTCATGCAAAGATGGAAACTCAGTTATTGTACCTTGTGGCCAGTAACAATTCCTCGCCAGGCTTCACTACCACTAAGGACAGGATCATGGCCCAGGGACTGTGCTGTGCTTAGGTGGGTCCTGGCACCACAGGACCTTAAAAGGGTCAGAAGGAAAAATGCAATAGCACTTACAGAGAGATGGGCACTAAGTCCCACTGCAGTCCCGTGGCACCTGGGCACTGCACCACTGCACACCCTCTCCCTCACCTCCCGTTCTTCACCCCGGGGACAAACCACCTCCTGAAGTGACCCCAGGAGAGGCACTGCACGCCCGAGAGCCTGGCAGGCTGGGGGATGGCGATGCCAGCGGGATGACACAGTGAAACCCGCAGATCCCCGCAGCGCGAGGTGCCCGTTACCCACGCAGGGCCGGGCGGCTGTTGCCCATCACAAGCGGCCCGGGGGTGCCGCCTCACCGGGGGCTTCTGCCAGGATCCTGTGGGAGGGAGCGGGACCCTGCCCGGCGTTAATTGATTAATTGTTGTCAC